CCCCCCAAGAGGATTGATTAACCAGACCCTGCTCTGACTTAGGTTAGAGCATTCCTTTTACTAGATTCAGAGACCTTTCTCTCTTTTCTTCTCTATGTATTCTCTTTTTAAAATTGAGATCTAATGCACATACCATGAGTTCACCCTTTTAAAGCATACAGTTCAGTGCTTTTTAGTATATTTATGGATTTGTGCGCCTCTCTCTACTATCTAATTCCAGCATGTTTTCATCAGCACAAAAAGGAACCTCGTACTTATGAGCAGTCATTACCTGTTCTCGCTCTACCAGCTCCTGACGGCACTAATCTAGTGTCTGTCTATAGATTTGCCCATTTTGGACATTTTATATTAATGGGGTCACACAACATGTACTTTACTGTGTCTGGCTTCTTTCAATTAGCATCATGTTTTCAAGTTTTATACATGGTTTAGTGTTTAGTAGTATGTCATTTCTATTTTTTTTCTGTCTTTAATGAAGTATAATTGATAAGTAAAATTACATGTATTTAAACTTTACAATATGATGATTTTATATACATATGAAATTATTGTCAAAATGAAATTCATTAATACATTCATCCGCTCACACAGTTACCATTTTGTGTGTGAGTGTGTGTGTATGGTGAGAACCCCTAAGATCTACCTACTCTTAGAAAATTTCAAGTATACAGTTTACTATTATTAACTACAGTCATTATGCTGTATATTAGATCTCCAGAACTTATTCACCAATATCCCCATGCCTTAACTTAAAATTTTTTTTCAAGCTCTATTGACATATAACTGACATATGAGATTGTACACGTTTAAGGTATACAATGCATTGATTTGATACACTTACATTTTGCAAAATGATTACCAGTGTGGCATTAACTAATTCCTCCATTATGTCACATAATTACTATTTCTTTTTTGTAGTGGGAACATTTAAGATCTGTTCTCTTAGTAACTTTCAAGTTTCAGTACTATTACTAATGATCACCCTGCTGTACACTAGATCCCCAGAACTTATTAATCTTATAACAGTGAGTTTATACCTCTGATAGCCACTACTCTACTCTCTGTTCCTACCAGTTCAGCTCTTTTATTTTTTTGTTTTTAATTTTTTAGAAGTTTTTATTTATTTATTTCGAGAGAGAGAGAGAGAGGGAGAGAGAGAATGAGCGGCGGAGGGGGAGTTAGAATCCCAAGCAGGCTCTGCCCATGGGGCTCCAACTCATGAACCATAAGCTCATGACCTGAGCCAAAATCAAGAGTTGGATGCTTAACCAACTGAACCACCCAGGTGCCCCAGACTTCAGCTCTTTTAGATTCCACATATAAGTAATACAATGTTTGTCTTTGTCTGACTTATTTTACTCAGCATGATGCCCTCCAGGTTTATCCAATAGATCACAAATGGCAGGATTTTTTTCTTTCTTATGGCCAAATAATATTCCATTGTATGTATACACTGCATTTTCTTGATCCGTTCATCTGTTGATGGACACTTTTTTTTTTCTGTCTTGGCTGTTGTGAATAATCTGCAATGAACATGGGAGTGCAAATACCTCTTCAAGATCCTGGTTTCATATCCTTCAGATATACATAGAGGTGGGAGAGCTGAATGATGTGGTAGTTCTATTTTTAATTTTTTTTTTAAGTAACTGCAGTACTGTTTTCCGTAGTGGCTGTACCAATGCACATTCCCACCGACACTGAACCAGCATTCCCTTTTCTCCACACCCTCACCAACACTTATTATCTCTTGTCTTTTTCATAATAGCCCATCTAACAGGTCTCATTGTGGCTGTGATTTGCATTTCCCTGATGATTAAGGATGTTGAGCATCTTTTCATGTACCTGTTGACAATTTGTATGTCTTCTTTAGAATGATGTCTATTCAGGTCCTTTGCCTTTTTAAAAAACTGGATTATTTGTTTTTAATTATTTTATTTTTGCTATTGAGTTGTATAAATTCCATATATACGTGTATTCCATATACGTGTGTGTGTGCGAGTGGGGGAGGGACAGAGAGCGAGGGAGGCAGAGAATT